CAAGGAGTTTGTTTGGGTGTTATCTGCTGCATTAAGTTTATTTACATCAAATCAGCTGTTAACTGCACATGCTCATCTTTTCATTGTGAAAAGCAAAACTTAAGTGAATTAGATGCATAGAGTTGATTTGAACTGTGGCTGTGAGTAGGACCTTGCATACATCCCCCAGTGGACGTTTGTATGGATGAAGCCATCAGATTTATTTATTTCAATGTACATGTACATGGCAGCAGTGAGGTGACTAGGTAAATAAAAACACATTCATTCACAAATTTTCAACCGGACACCCAAGTTACAAAGTGTAGGTGTGAAGTTTTGAAAGATGTGGGGTATTTATCAGACAGGGAGGGTCTAACAAAACATGCCATCAAGTTGCATTATAGAAAGTGTAGCATCTAGCATTTGACTGATCCCATATTTTAGAAAATAGAGGTCAAGATGTCTCAGCCTTTCCTACATGAATTTTAATACATTTTACATATGTTTTATCTCTCACAAGTCCCCCAACGTTATATGTTTTACCAAATGACTGTTATATCCCTTTAAGAAAAATACAAGTAAGCTACTTTCCACCTCTGCTTTTCTGGTGTGTTTTGATTTGATTTATGTGGCAGCTAGCACATATAGTAGATGTTTTCAGTGCTATTGAGCATTATTGTTTGCTGTTTGGTAAGTGAGCACAATGACAGCTTATTCAGTGTAGCTGAACTGTGGAGAGTAAAATGAATATACTTAGTTACTTTTGACCACTGCATCATCTCTGAAGTCTGACTTAACATTTGTTAACATTTTATCAATTCAATACAGTGTAACAGCAGAAAAATCTAAGAAATAAAACTCTTAACACCATCTGATTTTATGCCGACTCATACTGCACGGCCTTCATTTAAATTCTGTTTGCCACCGTAAATCACTGAAAATATCAATTATTTAAAGATTTCAAAAGCCTGTTAAAAATGGTCGAAAGACATAAAAGAGACACTGTGTGAAAGCCCAACATCAGCAACTTCGACTGGTTTTCTCAGCTTGTCTCTGCATGATATATAAATAAAGTTATGATACTATAAATAAAACATGTTCAGTGTATTCACTGATGAAAAAACAAGAGGGTTTTAAAAGGGGACTCTACTAAATTGCTGAAGTACTCTGGGAAAAGGGAATAAACTGCAAAAGCATAGTACAACTAAAGTAAGAGATAGGAGCAATTAAAATATAATAAACATATTTTTAACCATTGATGTTAATTTTTTTTTGTTTGTCTTTATGAAACTACATGTTCACTCTTTAGAGTAACATTTCCGCTGACAGTATACACACATAACTATATGTGTGTCTTTCCACAGGTGTCCGAAGTTGATAAAGACTTTCCTTTCCAGGCTGTCATAAAGAATGATAGACCTGCTTTTGGATTACAGCCCACCTTCTTTGTCTCCGTGCTCCATCTTTTTATCACAATTCAGCCGGGGCGTGATCTTAGCTATGCAAGGACACGGGCATGTTTGACTTGCATGTCTTGTTCAGCCTTTGAATATTCAGCGAGGCCTGCCCTTTGAAGATGCTCCTGTGTCTCCTTATGTGAGTGAAGCAGCTTTATTCACTGTGACTTCTGCAAAGTGATCTTTAACCTAGAGGGAAACCACAAAGAACTCTTGGGGGACTTCTGCAGACCCCTCGCTAAAGGATCATGTTTTGGAAATAGCAATAAGAGTTAAGAGTGCAGCACTAAGATTATTGTATATTTTAACCTCTGCAACATCAGTTTTTTTTAGATTTTAGTCTTAAAACAACTCAAATTATTATTTAGAGCTCATGTGGCAAGGCGGCTGCTGTCACAATACAAACAAGGTTGATTTCCTGTTACCATGGCAGTTGTCATTGTAATGCTGCCTCCCAGGGCAGCTGGATTTCTCCTACAATTTGTCTTAAAGATGTCCTGGCTTTATACCAGGGAGCATTGTGTAACCCATAAAATCAATGCCCTGGATGATTTTGTGAAGACCGTTCGGCCAGCTGTGTGAGACATCTCATTATGTTTTTGCTCTCTGTGGTATTCTGCAGCTCATGTTGTTCCATGCAGGCATATGGGTTTTGAACATAGAACGAGAGCAGGTGCAGCCATAGTCCAAAAGCACTGGAGAGGAAACAAACACAAACAACATGCCTTATCCTGCCTTGAAGTGTCCCCTGTCCCTATGGACCTCTGCTGTGCCATTACTCTGTGTTCAGCTCCACACGTACAGCAGCCAAACCATAAGCCCAAGCCCCAAATGGTGCTGATCGGTACACTACCTGCTCCTCTCAGCCAGCAGGAGGATGGGATCATGCTGTGATAAATGGCCAAGCAGCTAGGGAAGAGGAGAGGAAGGGTTCTTCCTACACTGTTCTGCTTAATTGCTGGCCTGCTAATAAGTGGTGAGGTTTGATTAAGCTCAGCAGGAAAACAGCACATTGTATGCCTGTCAGTTAGACTGGCAACAAAACTCAGCAGCAGATTATGTCACAGCGTTCGGTTTTGATGAGTCGACATCAATAATTTGAAGAACTCATCCAGGAATAGATCTCGAGCCTGACCTGTAGAGGGCTGTTACTCAGACACCTTATCCAATTCATTTAACATGGTTAAAATGATGCTCACTTCTTCAACTTTCTGGACACCAGGAGCAATGAATCGATTTTTTTTTGTTTTACATGCCATCGTAATTCTGCTATCAATCAATCACACTGCTAGTTTCTCTGTGAAACTCCCTGTAGAGATGACGTCTGTGGTTGAATATGGTACTTGCACTGATGAATGTGATGACATAGGGATTTTAAAAGGGGGTTTATGAATTAAATTTTATATTAATTGTATTATGTTGTTAAATCTGCTGAACATTTGTTTCAATTTAAACACTGGCTCACGTGTAAATTGGATTATTGACCAGGTAAATGAAGTCCCATAATTACTTAATTTCATCCACTGTAACAGTTAATTAATTATTATTACATAGTAATTACATTATTGCTATTACTTTATCAAATCAGCAATAATTAATTAAAGATAATTCTAGGTCATGATTTTTATGATTTGTTCTCTTCCTTAAAGTAATATGGTGATGTCAAAAAGCTCAATGAACCAGATAACTGAGTGAAGTCTTCTGTCCTGATTAGTCTCTTGAGAAAGAAAGAAAGAAAGAAAGAAAAAAAGAAAGAAAGAAAGAAAAAGAAAAGAGATGACAAGTCTTCAAAATGTGTTTTTTGCTCATTTTGAAACACTTCGACACAATGAAGTGACACTGGGGAAAAGCTGACATTTAAACTCATCGATTTTAGCAGTCTGACAGGTACTTGCTGACATGATGCCCCACTTCCTGTTAGTAATAAGTCACACCTTTGGTTGGTTTCATAACAGCACGTCTGAAGAACTCCTGTCAAATCATGAAAGTTTGAAACAGTGGAAAATGGTCCTGTCTTGATTCTGTCTTGTGAAAAGTGTGATGAGCATTAAAATGAGCAGTTAGCCTTAATTTCACACCTTCTCTGAAGCCATTCATTAAGATGTGTAGAACAAACACCACTGGTGTCAGTAAATTATGAAATGTTGAAAGAAAAATTTACTATATCAAATAAGCTATTGTGGATAAACCAGGGATAATAATTATGGGTTCAAATGTGTTATCTGCTGCAGAGTATCAGGTCGTCATGCACTCTTAATATATATTGGATATTCCATGTTTTGCAGTTTATATAATGGTAAGATTTAAGGAGCTAATAAGGAACAGACCCAGAACTAATATCTACCAGGACCTCTTGAATAATTCTGAAAAAGGGATTAGATATCAGATAATGATTAGTTAGTTGAGAACAGGCTGCTTGATATAATTTTAATGAGCAAGCATAAGTTGTTTAACAGAGTATCTGTGAGTCTGCTTACTAACCAATCATTGCATCTAATGAATTTTTCCTGATTAACTCCAAATCAGCTGCTAAACAGTACATAACCAATAACTAATGATTACTTTGTTATGGTGTGTATATGCATCATACCGAGTTTCTTAGGGGCACATTATTAATTCTCAATTACCTGTAGATTATGAACAAAGACGAAACAGACAGAGCATTAAAAAACAAACAAAGGCAAATATAGAAAAAAATCCAGATTACTCAAAGACTTCTGACCAGCTATTCGATCTATAAATCAGCCATGTTTTTTAAAAGCATGAGTTTAGCTGTGAAAGAAATGTGAATGTGAACCACGTTCAGTGTCAGAAATAACTTACAAATAGCCCCTTTTAAAGTAGTTAAAACTGTTAGCAGCACAGACTGTCTCAGTGTTGAAAAGCTGGAAGTTTCTAGACCAGCTGTTGTTCCTGAAGTTTGGAGAAAATGCAGAGGACATACATACCTGTCTTCTCTGAGTGATGGAACTAACTAGCTTTAACCAGTCGTCACACTAAAATGCTATATCAGTTATCCCATTAACTAGCATACAGTGTGGCTGTGTAAGCTAATGATACAATAATGATCGCATGTAATGATGTAATTATTCATATTTTATTCATTGGTTATTTTAGTCATTATGAACGCTAGCTTCAAGTCAGATGGTTATCATGTTGCCATTATGTTATCTGAAGGGACACAGAAACAAGTATCCTCAAGCCAGAACTCGTTAGGAACTACTTGCTATTCATTAAATAGCAACTCACTAATTAGCAACCCATTATTGGTTCTTTATCAGTTCATTAACTGCTTAAGATTTTATGTACCTAATTCTGAAGTGTTACCTGTGTTCTTTGTTGTTGTGGTCTTTGTTAGAAATTATCTGTTGTTGATTCTTGTCTAAGGAACTGTAATTAGTCGTGACAACACATACCCCGGTGTCTCGCAAATCCCTGGTTGTGTATGCAGAACTCACCACATGTAAAATGGTCATCAACCTCTCACAGATCCTATTATCAATTTTCACCTTAGCGTGGTGTGGCTTAAATGACAAATTCTTTTTCTCTTCTCTTTGTCCACAGATCTTGTATTTTCCTGGATCTTTAATGAATACCCAACGTTTGTGAAGCAGGACACTCGTCGCTTCATCTCACAGGAGACAGGGAATCTGTACATCGCCAAAGTGGAGCCCTCAGATGTCGGCAACTACACCTGCGTGGTGACCAACACCGTCACAAAGACCCGAGTCCAGGGTCCACCCGCTCCACTGGTGCTCCGCAGTGATGGTGAGTCCTGCTTTTGAACAGACCAGCTTCACTAACATGTAAACATTACCAACCACAGCACGGAAGACCTCTGGCTAGTTAGTTAAGAGGTTGGTTCGGGATAACTGTGCTGCATATCATAGTGGTAATCATCATAATTAATGCTAATTAGAGTATGCCGTCTTTGGGCCGTTTATTTGGATGCAAATGTTTCCTCTTAATTGTTCTGAATTGGCCTAATCATATTCATGTATTTGCAAATGGAGTATATGTTAAATCTGTATTTGCACACAGCCACCTCTTCATTAGACTTCCATAACAGGAAGATTTGTGATGAACCTCTACTCATGTAGAGTTTTTGTGCAAACAAAAATGTCCTTTTACCACTTTCATGTTTGGCTGGTGTTTTTCATCTATTTTTCTTCATGCTTTCATTAGTGCTAAAAAATGCAGCTTATCCATTCTCCACCGAGATCTCTTGGGATGATTTAATACAGCAGTGTTGAAAATAAGCACCAGTCCTGGTCATGGTAAACAAAAAGCCAAACTTGTTTCTTTGGTACCCCAAAGTAGGACAAGTGGTTTTATGGAATACAAATGAAATTCAAAGGTTAATTATCTCATTGTTCGCTAATTTCAGCATGTCCTTTAACGTGTGGATCTGATGCTTTAGGCTGGCCTTATCAAGGCACTCCAGACGAAAGGTCATTGTCAGCAAGTAATCTAATTGTAGACCTCTGTCCCAGAAGCATGTTCCTCACTGTATCTAATGTAATGTAGAAGAAGACATATGAAGCTAAATGTAATTTTCACAAAAAATGTAATTTATGTGGGTTTTTACCTTTAATTATAGCTGATCTGATGTAAGAAGATATCACACAGCTTTGTTAAACTATGAACTATAAGTATTAGTGGTAATGCTTTATTTTAACCCATTATTTAAACTTAATGAATGTTTATCTCATAACAACATAGTTGTTTCTAACATTTTTGTCAACAACTACAACTCCTATGACACACACCTAACTGGATTAATAACAGTCCTTACATTCTGTTATAATGTAATCATTCATTCTTAAAACATTTGTTCAAATCACTTACAGGCAGGTTTAAAAATGTTGAATGAATGTTTTTAAAACTCATGAGGAAATAACTGTCTAACAACTGTAGTCTGAGTGATTCTGGATTCCTGAGGCAGATACAGTTTTTTTCTTTTACATTAACACATAAATGTACAGACCAAATTATTATTATTTTTTTTATAAGGCCTTCCTTAAATTTGGATATTAAAGAATTGTGTAAGCTGTAGCCGAAATGCCAATGCCAACATTTGCTTTTCACCTACTTATTATTTGAACTGTAATTACAAACACGCTAAATTATGTTATCAAGCATTCATTTATTGTTTTGTAAGTTATGGGTTCTTCACAGGAGGAGTTATATTTGTTGACAAATCGACATAAATTACAGTGTCTTATTAATCATTAAACTGCTTATAAATGATAATAGGAAAGGTTAAAATAAATTGTTACCTAAATTAGTGTTAGGATTAATACAAATAGTATTGATAATGTTACATGTATACATGAAGAATCAAATGTTAGTACAGGAAGTAAAACAAAAAAATGCCAAACATTGTGCTACAATCACAGCTTTTCATCAGTTAACCTTTAAATGTAATTGTGTAGCTCTGCTGTGGTAATACAAGGCTCATCTTGCAAACTCAGTAACAAAATAAAAAGAAAGGACGAGGCAGTTTTCAGGGGAATTAGCCAACATACTTCAAATTACAGCCTATGTCACATTATTAGACAGAATCTCTAGTGTTCTAGAGATAGCACATATAATTTAAAGAAAAAACTGTGAATTGGGTTGTCCATATGCTTTTAGCATTTAATAGTAATAATAATAATATATATGTTAAATTAAGAAAAGAAATTCTCAAAGAAATTGTGAAAAGCTGGTGTGATTTTTTTTTTTTTTTTTTTTTTTTTCCCCAGAGCGCTTCTCTTTTCTGCTTCCTTCCTCTCTTTCCTCACCACGCCTTTATCTCACCAGGCAACAAAAGATCAGCCCCACCTCACAGTCATGGGGGCTCAAGTAGAGACGGGGCAGGCAGGAGCATTAAACAGGTGTCCCCTACAAAAGGTTATGGTATGAGACAATTACCCGTCCACTTCCACCTGTCTGCTCTCACATGGGTGATAGTGCTGTGCTTACATTCCAGTATGAGACAGTTGTGATAAGGATCTGAATTAGCTTTCACAGTCACTCAGGGAGCCATCCTGATAACACATGCCTCACCAAATCAACGAGATGAAATTGGCCTGTTTCCTCCATCTCCAGAGCTATTTGTGCAACACAGGCCTGAATTACAGTGATGGGGGGAAAACCTATTGTTACACTGGCGGATGAGAGTGGATTAAAATACCATATTGTGCACCCAAGGCTGAGAGCTGGCACAGTTCGGAGAAATGAAAGTGTACCCAATTACAAATTTGTTGATATGATTTACCTTAGTGTCATTTAAGGTGAAGAATAGAGTAGCGTACACGTGTGCCTTTCCAGTGATGTTAGACACTCCAGTCTTGATTTATGAATAAGTCTCTCCCGAAGCTAGAAAAAAACCAGAGAGCCAACATTCCCGTCTTCTCCTTTATCCCGAGAATTTTAGCATGCACAGCAGCAATATTATAATCCACCAGAGCTGCTTCACCGACAGTGAATGGGAGGCTTTGTAGACACAGTGGCAGTACCCAGGGGGATTTTATGGGCCCATTTTCTGGTTCACAGCTGTTAGCACTACAACAAGATGAAACTCATCTGGATGTAAAAGCTCAAACCATGTATGAATTCTCAAAGTTGTTTTTTCCATTCAACATCAGTGTGTTGCATGTCCACTGGAGAGCTGTGTTTTGGCTTCTTTTTCTCATTATTTTCAATGGGAGAGCGTTCTGTGACAGCGCTGAGAGCAGAGCGCTCTTCTGCTGCTCAGATCGCACAGCGGCGGAGGTTGAAACACATTTCAGCTTATAGTGAAAAGACGGCTGCACTTGAAAAAGGTTTTCAGTAGTTTTTTAGCAACAGCAGCAGCCACAATTTGTGTTTTCTTTTATTTATTTATTTTTGTTTGAGTTTTTTTTTTTAACTTGAATCAAAAACAGAACTTTTTTCCACTAATACAGATGCTCATTTGCATTTCTCTTTCAGGTGTGATGGGTGAATATGAGCCAAAGATTGAAGTTCAGTTTCCAGAGGTTGTTCATGTTGCCAAAGGATCCACTGTAAAGCTGGAATGCTTCGCCCTGGGAAAGTAAGTCAGGCTCAACATGCTGAATAGCATATAAAAGGAAAAATATTACTAGAGAAGCGCTGGGATATATATTTTTTTTTTTTCATGTGTTTCTCCACTTTGCTGGAATCCCCATGTGTTTCAAGCCAGGCTGCATATCTAAGAAATTACAGGGCAGGTGTTATAGTGTAAGAATCTTCTGATAAAATATCTGGTTTTGTGACACACTGCCTAAAGTGAGAATAGTGAGAGGTTGTACTTCACTCCATTTTTTTCAGATTTACATTCACCAGAGAATAAAACCCTTTAATTGTGCATGTTATCAGACCTTCTACCTGTCAGCTTTAGCCAATTATGTTTATGCACAAAAGGAATTTGATTCTGCTTTCTAGTGACTGTTAATATAGTCACATACACACAACAAAGAAAAGATAACAATATGCAATAATATAATGTCTATATACAAAAACCAAATAATAAAACAAATAATGCAAGGGTGTGTGGGAGAGCAGAGAGCTGGAATACATACATACTATTACTGTAATAATTTATGTTAGATACTGTATGCCAGAGCTAAACTGTGTTCAGTACATGTATGTATCCATGTCTATGTACTATGTACAGCTGCCTTTGTTTTATATTTGATATACAGTACATTCTGTGTATTCTGTATCTATCTCTATATCTATCTATCTTCATCTATTCCTTGGAATAGATATTTTTATGGGGTAAAAACTAAATGTTGTGCTCCGCAGTCTGCTCTTACATTAAATATTAAGGATCTCAAAAATTTACCCTACACCACAATTTAAGGTTAATGTGGGTACATTTGCCAATAATCTTGCAAAATTAGGGAAATTTGAATCAAAGGAATCGAAATACTTTTGGGGGCCGGGAGAAACAGTAGCTTCTATGTGTACAAATGATTCTATGCTTTTTTAAAGGACAGTCTGCAAATAATTGGGTTTGGCATGTTTCAGCATTCAGAAATTTTGCAGTGCTAATTCAGCACATATCTAGTAAATGTATTAAAAGTTTTAAACAGTGATCAATAGATCAATAGAACAATCAATAGATATCTTTGTATAACTTTGTATAATTCAAGATTTTCTGCACAAACCTGTTTGTCACTTTTATAAAAGAGATATGGATTAGGGCCAAACGATCATATTGCGATATGATTTCAGTGGGAATGGTCATTTTTGCATTAATTTTCTACTGAAACAAATATAAAAATGATTTTTGTTGGGTCTTTAACAAACTAGCATGTTCCCTTATGTCTGAGGACTGACTTGTAGGACGGCGCGTCTCACCACAATGCTTTATTTATGGTCTGATGTCTGACACATTTAACCCATATTAAAACAAATTGCAGCTCCTGCAATTTGGATATTGCATTTGGCCATATTGAGATTTTGATAATTTGTCGATTAATTGTGCAGCTCTATTAGGAATCACAAGTAACTACGCTTTTCTGCAGATTTTCCACTTACGAGTAAGAAGTTATTCACAAAAATTTGACAGCTGTGACTTTGGAGGGTTAATCTTCTCTGTTTTCACAGCCCAGTACCCTCTATAACCTGGAGGAAAGTGGACGGCGTACCCTTCCCCAGGAAAGTGGACATGAGGAAAGCCAGCGGTGTCCTGGAAATCCCATATTTCCAGCAGGAGGACGCCGGCATGTACGAGTGTGTGGCTGAGAACTCGAGGGGAATGAACACCGTGAAAGGAAAGCTCTCGTTCTACGGTAGGTGATCCTGTCGTGCATGAATATTTGACCAGCGTGCACCACATCTGTCAGAGCCGCTCAGACTGAGAGGCAGCAAAAGCAGACACAACTGGTCCTCTAAGCTGCCAGTGGCTCATGTGGCATACATGAGGAGGGAGGTTCGTTTTAACAGCACATCAAAATGATTAAAGGCTGTCAGCCATGATGCCTCTAATATTTTGATCCAGATTAAAGGAGTGATGCGGATGAGGCTGAGCCCTTGGATACGACCTTGTTGGTGAGCCTTGTATTGGGTTCCACCAGATGGCATCATGATTGACATCCAACTTGACTGGAGATCAAAGCTGTTAAATGTACTATACATAGACCAGTGGCACATATGTCAGGGACATAATCTGCACCGCAGCATCTGGATTGACAGGAAGGGGGTTAGTGGATTGACTCATTGTTGCTGATAGTCTTGTGGTCGGAGTCACACCCGCTGAGTTCAGATACTAGAAGTCCTGAGAACCACTGACTGGGATGTGCAGACTGCTTCCTCCCAAAGTTAAAGCTACACGACTATCTGCCATTACAAAATGATGGATAGTGCAGATTTAAATACATATTTCAAAGGGCGGCAGGGAGTTTTCTTTCTGAGTTGGTCTTTTTTATAAACTACCTGTTTATGTTACCATTAAAAACCAACACTGGTGAACATGTACCTGTATTTGAATTTGCAATTTAACAGTTGTTACAATTTGTAAAATAAATTGTTGTGACTAATCTTCAAGTTAAAGTTTTATGTGATTTCATTGTTCCTATACACAGCCCATTAAGAAACACCTGTGAGCTATTCAGACCTCAGGGATTTCTCTTTCTGATATTGCATACCATTTTCTCTATGTTTATTGATGCACACTTACAATGTAAGCTATTACATAAGTTGGTCATATATGTCCAGCATTCTTTTTGCTCATACTATAGTAGCTGCATGTTTTTCCTCTGCATTCACCTGCTTTCTGTCTAATAAGACAAGAAACATGAACAATAATAAAGTCAGTATATGGTTCATTTATATTGAGTAGCATTAAAATGGAAATAGTTCTGCAAAGCACCTCTCAACAACAAGGCAAGTGCTGCACCTAAGACATAAAAAGGCATTAAGACAAGATATAAAAGAAACAGGGCAATATAAGAATATGTATATAAATAAGAAGTATATGTGTCTTTTGGCGAGAACAAGAGTGTCTCAAGTTTTGCGTGCGCAGTGTGTGTGTAGAAAAGTGATAAAATAACTCAGATCAATCCTCAAACCTGTGATTTCTGGGTGTGCTCTCGGTGTGTGTACTCTTCTCCCACAGTGAAATACACAAAAGAAAATTGAGGATTCACTGCTGGACCAAAATTAAAACTAATTAAAGATGGTGATGGAACAGCTCCAGAAACACCTTGAAAAATAACTTGTGATTTTAGGTTTTCTGAAGCCAAATTTGGGCCTGGGCAAAATTAATGGAGCATAAGATTCTTAATTTTATAACTTTAGATTGAGGCAAATATTATGAATCCCACATGTCCGCTCATATAAATAATCAAAGTTGGCAGACATCTCTGACCTTATGAGTTTAAAACAGCTATATATAGTGTGGTAGGTATGGATAAAATAATGCCATTCCATTTATATTTTAATAATATTGTGACCTGCTCAGGTTTGCCAGGCTGTAACTGGTGCTCTGAATGATCCATGAATTTTCCTCCTGCCTCGACCGCTCTCTGTTTGCCTTCTTCTGATTTTCCCCTCTTCAAATCATGCTGTCAGCTCTCAGAAATAACTCATTTGGGGTATTAAACAATTTGTCATTATTTACTGCAGTGCTCTTAAGCTCTTATCCTCAGTCACTATACCAGCCCAGTAGCATGCTGGGATCTACTGCGTCTCCTGTTTTTTGATATGTTTTCTTTCTCTCTCTCTCTCACTCACTCTCTCTCTCTGTCCTGCTGTCTGCAGACAAGTGATAAAAATCAGTAATCTTATTTTGAACTCCCTTTGAATTAAGCCTTTGAGACATTCGTCAGCAGTGTGAGCCATCGGGGGAATCGATAAGGGTATCGCTTGTAGAGCCAAGCAAGCTACAGTGGACAGAGAGCTGGGCCTCGTGTTAGACAGGAGATGAAGGTGTAACTTCACGGTGGCACTGTGCTCATTGTTAAAACATTTTCACACCTTTCATGTCAATTTTAATGTACCAAGATGAAAAAACACATTTTTTTTCTCCCTCTAATAATGTCGCCATAATGTGTTTCGAGTTTCTTTTGATTGGATATGAAGGAACTGGATTTCCCATTAAAAGTAGTGTTTTTAAAATGTTAGATTTCTCTTCATCCTGTCTTGATGTAGTGATGTATGTATTCATAGAGCAGTAAAAGTATCGACTGAAATGAGAATTTATTATCTGTGCTGCCTTAGAATTACATTAGTGATTTTAAGCTGGAGGTGAAATTAGAGTCATTATATCTTGATGCAAAAGAAGTTCAGTTCTTGGCTGCATGTAGCCACCATCTTCTTCCCTGTTTGTCATAAATCTCTGCACTGGAGGCAGTTTTCAACTCAATCCAAGCCAGAGACAAGTGGTTTTGTTAAATTTCCATCCCTGGAAGAAAAGCTTTGAAAAGAAATGGCCCTTTTGCCTGCTTGTTGATGTTGATATTACTCAGAGGGAGAGTAAGTACAGAGCTGTGACAGGTTAGTTTCCCTGTTGTAGTCACATTTGTGTTTCTGCAGACTTACCGCTGCATTATCTCATAGTGATTTCACTGATAAGGCAAATTCCCATCTTTCCTCTGCTATAGCCACTTGACGTTTGGCCTGATTGTGTGCGAGCTTGGCCCGGTGCAGGCAGAGATGGGCTGCCTGCTTTCATTTGGTGAGTGTTGACTGAGAGTCAATACGTTCACTGTGGGTGAGGGATAGAGTGAGGGTCCCTGACAGTGAGGGAGGGCGGGGGGGGGGGGCAACAACAAAAACAACAATGCGGTGTTGAAAGGTGCAGTGGGTGGGGCAGCTCAGCCAGGCTCTGATGCAGGATTGCAGTAGCATGAATGCTGCTTGATGGTAAACGACAGGTGATGGTAGAGTTTTATAGAGTACATTTCTGCAATCTTTTCTAGTTGAGTCCTCGTCCAAATGCGTACATTAAAGCACATAGCAAACAATTCAAGTGCAGCCACGCATTATACAAAGCTTGCATTGATTAAAAAAATTCTTTATTGGGTAGAGAATAGACCAAAGACAGGGTCGGTGTAGATGCAACATCACACAGATGGAAAATAAATGCTTCCTCTGCAGCAGGATAAATAACAGATCTGTCTGCAGCTCTCAGTCAAAGGAAATTGGAACCCTTTTTACTGTTTGCACGGATAGCACAGATAGCAGATACCTACAGCACAGCCTCAGCCAACCTTGTGCAGGCGCCTTGGCTGCCAAAACCATCTTAGAGACCTGAAGTGACACGTGATCCACTGTGCAGGACTCTGTCACAAATACACAAGACCACACAAACCCACCCCCTTCGTCCCCTGGTCTCTACATCCACCTCTTCCTCTTCAGCCAGTCTTTCAGACTTCTTTCAATCTTCTCTCTGTGTTTCTGAACACCCACATATGCACACACTCTCTGGCTCACACATTGTAGAAGCTGTAATGCACAGAGATAGTGCTGGGATGCTTTTGCAGTTATTGAATTTCTTGCTGTGTTGTCCTGCTTTATACTCAAAAATAGCAAAATAGTGTAAAGCAGAAGCCAATTAGAGCAGGATGTGTACTGTTACCGAAAGGCCTCCACAAAGGTCAGTCCTCCTTGAGAGTGACATTAGGTGAGGACTGTGGAATGGAAAAGTGTGGTCAACCATTACTCTTGTCCTGCCACTGGCCTTGTGTGATATAGGATGATAGTAGCTTGACCTACACATCATCCAAAATGTTGTTGCACAGAGAGCGCTTTACTGATCTACTTTTATTTACTACTTTTTTTTTTTTGGCTTAATCATTAACTAGCCTTGAGTTACTTGCATGACGCAGCAACAATCAATTCTCCTCCTGTATAACTATACCATCATTTACTAGGATCGTATTGAAGGGAGGATTTTTATGGCACCAGTGGCCACCCTAATGTATATGGATCTGGTTTTCATCATTTTTGTTCTATTAAAAGCGCACTGGGAGAACTGAAAGAAGCCATGAACGCTGCTAAATGTGCAATAAATGTGGGATTCAGAGTCACTGTCACTAAAACTCAGCACAGACGACTGGTGGCTGCTGTCACTCCTAAATCTACTGACTGGTCTTTTAATAAAAGTGACTAAATTTAACAAAATTTAATGACATTTCATGTTTTCCTGTATATTTCTACCAAATAACACATTATGGATAACTTTGTCTTCCACAATAACATTATTAGAAATGGTCTGTATGTTGGTGTATTAGTGAATGAATCCTGCTCTTTTATTTATTTATTTATTCTCAGTCACTGTATACAGTGTTTTTCGTGGTGCTACTGTTGTTTTTGAGCTGTATAAAATGTTTCCCGACTGTTAAGATATAGCGAGAGTACTTGTCATTGTATGACAATAATGACAATATGTCAATTTTAAATAAAATAGAGACCTGATACTTCATGATGAGTAATGTAATTATTATAATAAAATAAGGCCGAATAGAAGGACAATGAAATTAGACAGTAGAAATAGAAAGACAGTAGATGATAAAATATGTAAATAAAAATAAAAATAGAAACCATTAATAATAGTAAAATATGAGATTATTAATTAAAAGCCAAGTTAAATAAATAGCTTTTCAGCTGTCAAATGTTCACAGAGCTGCATCTCTTATAGCTCTTGGCAGGCTAATCCATAGTTTTTGAGCATGGTTCAAAAAAGCTGAGCTGCCTATTTTTTTGCCTAAAATTTCCCTTTACCAAGACTACTGTCCTTCACAGTTTATTATCCTTGACTGATGTTCAATTGTAGCAACTTTGGGGGGAATATTGAAAGTAATAATAATTTTTTACCTGAAAAACATGCAGAGGAAATGGACCTCCAGTTGTCCTCGTAGGCTGCATACACAATCTGCATTTCAGCTCTTCTTGAACTGGCAATCAATGTTCTTTATGAATCACTCAAATTATGCTTTTTTAAGATGTTTTTACACTCTTATGCTTCATGTTATATTATAAAATAGTCCTTTATTAGTCCCGCAGTGGGCCATGTGCTGTCATGTATAATTGCTGACGTAATTCTTTTTTATATTCTCTCTGTGCAAAGCAAATTCCCAGAGGGGCAATAAAGGTTTCATTCATTCATTCATTCATTCATTCATTCCAAACCTTCCAGCAATAAGATAGCGCTGCCTGGAAGTAGCCTGTCAGGCAAAATCCAGGGGTAAAAAGTATGTAAAGTATCTGTTACTGCTCCTAAGGCTTCACCGCTGTGAGCACATGTTGATGACAGGTGGGCAGTCAGACTACTTTGTCAAGAGATTTTAGTGACTTAATCAGACTCAAACTGTAAAATTTTGACAGATTTTGAATCTCAGTGAAAATTATGGCCCTCGCTTATTTATCATTTCCTTACAGCCAAATTATTTTGTCACTATCAAAACTCTCCAGTTCACTCTCACATTTTTTTCTTAAATATTTCCAGCCCCTCCTCACCTCATTGAGAAACCCCAAGATGTGCAGAAGCTCATTGACGACTCGCTGGTGTGGGAGTGTAAAGCCACAGGGAAGCCGAAGCCGTCTTACAGGTGGATGAAAAATGGAGAGAACCTGGAGTCTGCTGAGGTGAGACCTGCCAAGCACTAGCACATCTTTTGAGCTGAAGATAAAGTTCTGCTTCCAGGTTTAGACGTTCAACAGCAGCTTTTGGCACAGATGTTTTCTTGCATCCTCGCTGGTGCTGCTGCTGAATGAAGAATGTGAGCAACCATGTCCTGTATTTTCAAGGCTTTATTGTGCTGCTTGTTCAGGCTTTACTGACTAATTACCACGCATTATCGTCTTCTTCATTACAACACGGTGCCTCCAGTGCTGCAATACATTATGTTATTCAATTCTGCACAACAGCATTTATTTTAAAGGAATTAGACTGTGTCTGCTGTGCTTTGCTGTGCTTACAGACTAAACTGTGAACAGGCCAAGTATTTCACGCTAGTCTGGAAAGCACAGTGATGTAAGAGCTGCCCTAATCTCCTGTTAAATCTCTCCTCGCCGAGTGCAGTTATTAATCCTGTGCCACCAAAAGCGAAAAAGTAAGATTCTCTATATAAACAGTGTATCCTACGTTTGTTTTAGATCCCTCTGAATCCCCATTATGGTTATTATGATGACTCCAAACATCCTACTTGTGCATCTAACTTTCCGTTCCTTCATTATGTTGGGTTATTATTTTGGATGCTCTAGCCTGGTTGTTTGGAAAAGATTGATTGGACACTCAGGCGCAGCTTCCACCTGATAAATAAACAGGCATTATGTTAATTTGCTTCATTATGCAAAAAAGGCGACAAACACACCAGGGGTTATCGATCAGTACTTGAAAGTTATACATGTTGTCGGAATGAACCCAGTCTGTCGTTATATTAGCAGAGACAAGACTCTGCAGAGCTCTTGTCTCATAAAAAAAGAAAAAAGATGAAGATTTGACTTTGCTACCAGGGAAGAATAATCAACAGTCTGTTTAGCTGGTGGCTAAAGTTTTTATCAAAACCCTTTATAAAGGTAACAATCTTGTGATTGTTGGGTACTAAACAAAACAACCCAGCTGTTTTTATTTGTGTACAACAACAGGTAGTTTCTTAAGGATGTTAAATACCGGAGGCATTCTAGTATATATATCATCCTTTTTTTCTTGTTTTGATAATGGGACCTTACTCCTACTCCTTTTTCATTTCAATGTGAACTGAATGAATTCAAATGAAAACACTAGAGCTTTAAAACTATCCTCAACAACCACACACCACCATCTGGATTCATAGCGTGTATGATTTAAGGTTGCAATTGCTGTGTGCTGATTTTCGTGCTGCAGATTCCCCCCTTAACGGTTGACATAATAAATGGATATGTATTCCGAATGCCTGGGTGAGTGGATTAATCAGCAAAGGTGTTACATTGTGTGAAATGCCACCATTAACCACAGTGGCTTAATGAGTGGAAGAGGGAAAGGTCAATGATGTAAGGAGCAGTGGGGGGAGGATGCGCCGTTTGTTGTTATTTATTACAGTGAATCAATTGAGACCTTTCTGATGTGTAGTTCACTGGAACTTGTTTCTGCTGACAGTTTTTCTAAACTTTGAGCAACAGAAGTGGAGCAATCAACCTGTAAAAATAACTAGGCCTAAGTTATGGGACATATCTGTTGTTGGCAATACTGGCTACACAGTACAGTAGATTTCTAGGGGGTCATGATATTTAAAGGTCCCATATTTTACACTTTTTTTTTTTTTTTTTTACACTTATTTGTTGTTTTAACAACCAAAAACCATCTCAATGTAGTTTTACATCTCCTCTCTCAGGTTTCTCTCTGGAGCTCTAGTAACAACAGGTCAGTGAACCAATCAGAAGAGAGGAGGCTCTGAGCCTCTCTTCTGATTGGCTGACAGTTTTCTGATTGACCGAATAAAAATATAGCAGATTTCAGACAAACACTCAGAGAAACAAAACCCTGCAAGGTTGGATGGTGGGTCCAGGCGGGTGGGGCTTGGGGCATGACTGAGTGCAGTGACTGTGTGCATTTCTCTGTGGACTGAGGCTTTGATACTTTCACAGTATTAATATAGAACCTAGACCTGCTTTATAATCAAAAGAGACATGGAAATCTACCTTTATACTATATGGGACCTTTACAGCTGAATGTATATGTGTTTAATTATTCAGTATCAGTTAATTTAAATTTTAAAATACTGTATTTAAGAAGAAATTTCTAGTGTTTCACTCTAAATAATCATAGCTTTCAAACTGGTTTTAAAATGACTGTGTTCTTTGTTGGACAGACAGTGAACATGCTGCTGCAGTGTGACTGTTTCCCAGGCAGCCCTTACAGATTATGAGACTCATGGTGTTGCTTTTTATTACCACCCTATGTCAGAATAGCGATGGTTTATTGGAATGCTTTGTTTCTTGTGGCTGTTTTCATCTTGAGGACCTCTCTCTCTCTCTCTCTCCCTCTCTCTCTCTCTCTCTCTCTTTCTCTCTCTCTCTCTCTCTCTCCTTTATTGACAATGGCTGCAGGATTAAGTGACTATGCAATTAAAGGGAAACTCCAGCGTGAAACAGGATTTAGTCCATCTAAAGGAGTATGGGACCACCACACAGATGGCTTATGTAGTGCACTTGAACTGCGTTCAGTTATTCCCGTTCGGACTCCAATGTCAAAGCACTTTGAATTTCAAGAATGAGTGATGTAATTTCAGCGACGTCCACCACATTCTGATAAGAGGACGGGGGAGGTTTGAATTTCCTGCCTTCCCCAAGTTATTCAGCTCAAGTGGAGCAAGCAGGCAGCGCTTTTGTTCTTACTTGTTTGCAAAGCCATAGTTGAGCTCAGTTCATGTCAACTTGTAGTTCTTTCTTACCCATGCATATACAGTAAATTAATCAGATGTCTGTCAATAGAATTAGCAGATTTCTGCCACAGTTCTACCCTGGCGAGCACAAGTAATAACTTGTTGTTGAGATTTTCCTCTCATTGTTTATGAGATCAAACTTTTGAGATTAAAATGAGTTGCATTTGAAGAGGAGAAATAAAAAGATTATTTTCTACCTTTTCCTTAAACCCACAGTAGTGGATTGACATTGTTATGATGCTCTAGCTTCTTTAAATTTTTATAGCTGTTTCACATCATTCTCTCAGAGGCCTCCAGTAATCAGTAATTCTGAGGAATAGAGCTGTTGATAGCACACTTTTCTACACCATTAAAGTCATTTCCTTCATTGTTTTACATGCTTTCGCAGTTTTAATATCAAACGAATCAACCCAGTGTTGCTGGGAAATGACATTGCCAATCATTTTCATTCAGCATAAGGCATACAGATGGTCCCCCCAGGTCTCCGCATGAAAAACTGCTGATTTGAGAGGAACGTCATGCTTAATTAATAGCAGCCGTAAACAGGAGTGCTTTCCATGCACAGACTGATATACGCCACCATTTGCCTCCCTTGCCAGCAGGGATGTTCGTCCCTGCACATCCAGAGCTTCCAAGCGTTATGGAAATTCAGGCACAACCTGCTCAAACACAGGATTAGTTTGTGATCTTTCACTGAGGACAGTCTCTCTTTTCATGTGACACTACCTTAATCCTCCCGCGACTGGAGTTCAGGCCGCTGAGACACCCCTATGGAAATGGGCTCTAATGACATTAGGGGTGAGCCTGAGGAAAACATAGGAGATGAAGGGCATGGGGTGGCAAAACCTGACACAGCTGCATAGAGATGTATAAAAACTGCTCAAGGATTTAATACTATAGTGAAGGAGCTGTGTGAGAACCCAGGTTCAGAGAGATAAATGTATATTGAGGATTAAATGCACTGATCCAACTGAGTTTTTAGTTCATCAGGCCCAGCCGTCCTTAAATAGATCCTAATTTGATGGCTCAGTGACGAGCAAGATTTCCCCCGCAGGCAGGCAGGCAAAAAACGATAGTCCAAACAGATGAAGAGGAGGTACAGCATGACCATGTACACAGCACTTAGTATGTATAGGGCATACCTATCAGAAAAGCAATTTTCACAATGCAGTATACCTCAGATGTTACGATACCCCCCCCCTCTTATCCCCTCCTCCTGCTGAAGGGGAAACAGGCCCTGTGGTGCAGTCAGAGATATAAATAGGGCATGGTTTTATTTCACTCTCATAAACATGCAGATTGATTAGGGTCATTTTCTGCTAGCCTGCCTCCATCCACCCAAGCCTTTCCCTCCATTAGTGATGAAAACCTAGATTTATTGCCACGTCTGTCACTTCCAGACCATAATTCACTGGTGCACTGGCTGCCTGTTTTTATGTAGATGAGCACTGGGAATAAGGTATATTAAAAGCATGTGTCTCTGTGTCCATAGGAGCGCGTACAGGTTGCCAATGGGGCGTTGTCAATCAGTCGCCTGACCCTGGCCGACATGGGAATGTACCAGTGTGTGGCCGGGAATAAGCATGGCGAGGTCTACTCCAACGCAGAGCTGCGAGTTATAGGTAAGACACTGGCTGTGTATGCGTGTGTGTGTTCCACGCATGCGTGCATACAGTATGTGCGTTGGCATGGAGACGTGCGCGCAGGCATACATTTGTCCGTGTTTGTTTCCAAGTTTGCTCCGTCTTCTTCCTCTGCTCAATAGCGGCGGACGACCTCCGGCCTCTCTGTTATTGGCCACTAATTGAACAGCATTAATTAGAAGATGAATGCGTCCGGCTGACAGTGATGTATGCCAGAGCTGCTCTGTTCACCAGCCTCACCCATCTGCCCCGTCAAGCCTGTCACTCTCCACTCTGGGCTGGTAGCAACTCCCATTCACTGTTCAACCCCCCAACGCGTGTCACCCTGATCATATTGCCAAGCTCAAAAGGGACATTGAAAAAGAGAACGTCAAGGACAGTATCAGACAGTCGCAAACCTTTTTGAAAAGGTCACATATTTTTTTAAGTGGTTTGTAGTGAGGGAAAGTTATCATGTTGGGATAATCACTTGTTGAAAAACTAAAGAACAAACTGTTTCTCTTTCCGCTGTGAAAAGAATGGCAAAGTGGCAAAAAATGTGGCAAAGAATCACATGCAGCCGGACTGAGAATAATAATAAGTTAAATTAATCTCATTAGCTCCTTAACATCAAATTTAGCTTTCTGATTACTAATTGTCCTGATCGTACATAATGTCATCTATTGAATAATCCATGGCAATAAGGCAGTGTATCAATGATCCTATTTTTTTTTTTTATTTGGAAAATGAGATAAATTAATATCAGATAAATAATCAGAGATATTATGGAGGAAAAGGGATGTGAGGCTTTTACAAACACTGGATTTTTACCATGCTGCGCTTGTCTCAGCTGTTGCCCCAGATTTCTCTCACAATCAACTGAGGAGCCAGACGCTGGTGAAGGTGGGAGGAGATGTGCTCATCGAGTGCAAGCCCAAGATGTCTCCTTGGGGTGTGATCTCTTGGCGGAAGGGCAGCGAACCACTCCGAGAAAGTAACAGGTAAAACAACATTTGCAAATTTTGTTCTGATTTTACCGCACTGTGAGGAAGGGCAGGACTGTTCCCTGCACGTGCTCTGATTACTTGAAGCCAGGTTCGGCTCCCTGGAGGTCATGCTCATGTGTATTAATACAGACAACTTGCTCCCTCCAGCTGGTTGCAGCGTTGATGATGATGTCATCAGGGTTTGATGATGTCATCAGTTATCTTAGCACTGGCTTGAGGCTTAAATTTTTTTAATTAACTAAAAGAAAAGTCCGTCTAACAAAGTGGAAGTGTGTTTTGAAAGAAGAGGGTAGAGAGAGTCTAATGGAAGGCACTATCAAACTGCATTATGGGCAATGTAGGATGTAGTGTTCTGGAGCTTGACCCATATTAAAGACAAAAAGTCCAGATAACTAGGTCTCTGCTTGTTATAATGTGACCGTTCATTTTTAAAGTTGATAGAAGTGCAATAGTAAATTGCTGTAATGCCTCTTTAAAACATACATTTTAAAGGGTTATTACACAAGTTTCTCTCATAAGTTTATTTAGAATGAGTGAAAGTGAAATATTGTCTTCATAGCAACAAGCTATATTGTAAAATCAGTAACAGCTTGGATTTACAACAGACCGACGCGGCCTAAAAGTTGGAATTTTTTTCACTTCATCTGTTGCTCTGCTGCAAAGTAAATGTGCACAAACTGGCCATTGTTTTGTCGCTCCATCGGTTTCGTCACCAACAGGATTTAATTTACCTCTCAACTTCCATAATATCTCTCAGAATAATGAATTTGTAATGACAAGCTAGGTTTTGTATGATCCCTCTATTCCTCACACAAAAACACTATGTCCAGGTGCACCAGAAGGCCCCGGTCACTGTGGCATATTTTATAGCTGTATGTCCATGGAGAGATTTTGATGCAGTCCTCAGATGTTCTGTGAGAACACTCGCAGAACAGCTAAGAGGAAAAGCAGCATGAAGCCTAACTGAGTAATGGTTAATGGGGTTTGCCACATTTTATCTCCAGCTCTTTAGTGGTGTCCAAACAGACCAGCTGCTGAGTAAATCCAAAGTGCTAATCAAGTACTTTTCACCTCAGTGGGGATGATAAAGGCTCCAGAAATCAAATTATTTGACTTCTGATACATTTCCAAGTTTCTGAGGAACAGAAGGCGGTCTTAGCGTCCTGCCACATTTGACCCCTGAGATGTGATGTGTGTGCTACATGTGGTAACTTTTGCCAGTGTGTGTGTGTGTGTGTGTGTGTGTGTGTGTGTGTGTGTGTGTGTATGTGTATGTGTGTGTCTGTCTGTCTGGATGAAGTGTGAAGTCTGGCCCAGTAGCCTCATTGCAGACAGGGGTCACCCATTGGGTGTCACCACTCTAGCATGACTCCGCTCTGACAGCAGGCCAGTGTGCACAGTGTCTTGCCAGGCTTTGCATGTACACAAAGCAGTGTTGTTGCTTGTCAAACAAAGTGGCGGGGAATTTGCATAGTGGTTTCGCTGCTGGTGCCCTTCACTCGCCCTGTGCCACTTCCATCACACATTTCAACCTCTCAGCGCCCGTGCCATTTTGATTCTGTTGTTTTAAATTCATAGTTTAGATCGATTTTACATTTGTCTTCGATGTGACATGAATTGATGCCCTGGTGAAGTGATAAATGAAATGGCGGCGTCTGTACCAATGTTAAACAGATGCTTTGTGATTCATCACTTTCAAATTCAAATCACTACATGTACTTGTCCCTCAGTCTTTCATATATATATATATATATATCTATATGTGTGTGTGTGTGTTTGTATATATATATACAATATACACATACATATATATATATATATATATATACACATAGGTAAAAAGAGGTAACAGTTTGCGGGGGTTGAAACATTTATATATCCTTCTATCCTTCTTATCTGTAATTGTAAATATATTTCCCATATTCATGTCTGGAAGAATCTTGTAATGTCATTACAGACACCCCTAAAATGGACCGTACCATTTCAATAATAACCTTGACATTAGTTGAACGTCTCGTCTGCCTGTCTCCTTCCCTTCAGTGAATCACGTCTCTGCTCCCATGTGTCACACAAGCAAATTGAGACACTGTAGGTAAAAGTAAGTAGCAGTAGCTAAATATCTATATAGCTTGTTTCATACACTTTACTCTCTTAACCTTCTGAGTTTCCTAAATAGATTGTATTAAACATCTAAGGATGAACGTTAATGTTAGCTAATTTCTAACTTTAGCCTTAAATTACAGCTTAGCTAACTCATGTTACCTAGCTGATAGTGCGCCCTTCATTTATAGTGTTGGCTTGGTATTTCATCTCTGATGTCATATATTATCTATTTTTAGCAAATGCTGGTGCTCAGTCATGAGTAATGAGAAATTGGAGGATTGGTTGTTTTGACATCAATATAAAGTTTATTATTGTATTTGTTGTGGTGGTTTAGTCTTTTACCTTTTTGATATTAACTGTTATAATAGTCACCTCCTTTGTTTTCAGGACTTTTATCTGCTTGGGTAATTTAACAATATTAAAATGCATGTGTGCTGAAGGCCGAGTAATTGTAGTAGCGGTGGTGGAAAGTAATTAAGTGCATTAAGTTCTTAAGTTCTGTACTTAAGTTCCATTTTGAGGTACTTGTACTTTATTTAAGTATTTTCATTTTATGCTACTTTACATTTTCATTCCACTACATTACAGAGGGAAATATTGTAATTTCTACTCCACTACATTCATTTGACAGCTTTAGTTAAACAAGCAAGATACTGTAAGGACTTTAACACTTGAGTTCACTGAAGCATGTATCTGCGGTACTTGGTCCTCTTTCACCCTGGAGAAAACGTTCACTCCCCTGATTGTCATTGTGATTGCCGTTCACACTCTGAATCGCATGATGACCAACTGCTGTGATAAATAATGAATGATTCAAGATTTAAATCATTTAACTGTTATTAATTAATTACTTTTAAATAATTAAAATCTGAGAAATTCTTTTTGTTGCAGGTATAACTGGTAGATAAATATACTGCAGTTGTTTAGTTTAGATCTTCAGTGAACAAAGAGCAGCGTCATTATGGACAATTAGTAGATGGATTTCTCTAACGCTGTCTTTATTCTGGTCGTTTTAAAAGTCTGCTTGATGTTCAGAAATATGTTTTAATGCTTTCACTCAAACTAAATGAATGATATTTGGCTCTGGCCACCTGTGCTGCGCCAAAATTAAGAAGAAAGAGGCACAGATTTGAAATTAAAATTCAACACTCCCAGCTGTATTACATTAAAAGGAAATTTTTCTGCCATCATGCCAGAGTGTATTGCCAGCTACTGAGCGGAGTAACAGTTTACAGAGCTTGAAAACACATGCCAGAGCCTTTAAATGTGCTGATTACAGCTCCCTCTCACTCTCTTTTCTATTATCCCCCTTTCCTCTCATCTGTGACATACGCACATACACCCATGTGTTGTACAGCCATGCGATAAAACTGTTCAGCATCTGTCGTGGTAAACATTAGAACAGTTGTCTCTGCCCACTAATAGCTGTCCTGCCCTGTAGGGTCGAATGCAGCGCTGAGACTCATCCTGCTGTTTGTTTGGAAAATCTTTAGTGAAAGCACAGCACTGATGCAAAAGAGTGAGTGTAAATGATGGCGCGCGGATTCACACATCCGCTGTGTGATAAGCAAAACTGCTGCATTTCTTGCTTGTTAATTTTTTTCTTTATATATTAAGTCCAGTGAAAAGATTGATATTTGTATGCATGTAGAGTCCGTGTATGTATGCATGTCTGAGCACGTCTGGTTGGTTATGCACCTGTACAGAAAGGTGCGAAATCATGAGAGGTAGCTATGAACCCCTTTTGTTGAAGATTAATTGCCTTAATTGCGTTAGCACTCCACAGTGGCTCCTGCAGAAAGGGAACTAGTGTCACCAGCTGGGTAATCCATCTTCATAGCAGCAGCCCCCTTTTTTTCTGCAGAAGACCAGCGTAGGGAGGGGATGTCTTATCTACCCCAGACAACCCTGCAGGGACGAGGTTTAGATGACATCAGCTGGAACAAAGCAGCTGAGAGCGCAGAGCAGAGCAGGTCTTGCTGATGAGCGTGTAAGTGGGCCGTATCAGCCGTGGAGAGCAGCCCTAAAAAAAAAAAAAATCACGCCATTTCAATATGTCACTGGCAGGAAGAAATCAAGTTTGCTAGGCCGCTCACTCCTGGACGCACAAACAACTGTCCTCTCACAAGCCGCCAGCGACACATGCTGATGTTCCGATGTTGCACCCTCCTTGCTCAAATGCTCAAGACCTTGAGTGTTTATCTCTATCGGCTTTGGCACTCATGCAAATATTTATGCAGGATCTTTCAGTCTTTTGAAGACGGTGTTTGGGTGTGGCTGGGACAAATCCCGCCACTGTTGTTGTCAGGAGCTGTGATGCTGCAGCGTGTTTCCTCAGCTGCACAGTTTGCTTTGTTGTTTGTTTTGCATACTGTACTACTAAAGAAGAGGATAAGTTTTAGCTTTTTTTTGAAAAATATGAGATTAATATACGTGTGTATATATATATTTTTTTATTTATTTTTTCCTTTTTACATTCATACTCTGCCGCCCTCTTCTCCTCCCCAAGCAGCTGATGGACAGTCACAAGTTTAGCATGCTCCAGCAATCCATGGCAATTCCTTTTAGTAAGCACAGTCCAAAAGGTCATACATCTAAAATAAATTAATGCTAAAAATGCTAAAACATGTTATTGTATAGGGTGATTTTCTTTCTTACTAGTTTATGAATCATGCCCCTCAAATAAGGTATTTAGAGTGGTGGTGGTACCTGGAAGGATTTAGTCCTTTGTGTATATTATAGTTGCCAAGGGGAGACTGTACTAAGAACAAAGTACACCTGGCAAACTGTTGCCCAGTCTAAACTCCGGTTGGGCTCCATACATGCACAACACAGACACACAGTCTGTCAGAAATTTGTTTAATGTATTGAGTTATTTATTCAAAATACTT